CTAAGTCTTTTACATTTGCTCAACACATTTTTGCCACAGTTTAAACACGGACCAACACCGCTGCGATATTTCCTCCAACAGTGCCGGCTCTGCCACCCGCCAACAGCGAGCCTGCACGACTTCTGCGTCGCGACAGAGGTCATTAACCACCACCCAGCGCCCGCAATCGACAGTAACAAAACCACGTACACAAAGAACAAAATAGTAGTAGCCTATTAGAGAACTTCCCAATGAACATACCTAGTCCAATCAAGTTAATCACCCCAACGTAGAAGGACTTTAAAGTGAAAGGGAATGAAAGGGATATGGAGAAAGGGTCACCAAGATATCACATTGTTTGAGTTGACATCACAGGCTGGACCAGCTCATTAGTCGCCTCACATTCTCACGCAAGCCATACAGGTACATCACACAGGTAAAAAGCATGGCATCCTGTTGGCCGACGTCCACCGACCAACAGTATAGAATGCACCGCCACGTGGCTGGGAGTGGGTTCCAATCTTTGATAGAGTAGGACTAAGCAATCAAAAATGACATAGGAAAGAAGCATAACCGTAATAGATACTGGCCTGATCCCATCAAATAGTCAACTGCTTTAGACAACCGTGCTTATTTGCCCATCCCACATACAGTAACCACAAAACAGTTCCAGGCCAAGTGTCCTTAGTGAATTCCAAGTTACGACATTCTTCAAAGCAGTATTGTATAAGCCAGCAAACCTCAACCTAAACTATGCAAATAAACAACATTCCCAAAAACTCCAAACACCCTCACCATTATTTGCTGGTCTAGGCTGAGCAAAACACCTTTGCCAAATGCCAGTATTCCACAATACCAGCACTATCATTACCCTCAATCACCAAGTTTCTGTTGTCAACCTATACATAAAAAATGCCATATCACTAACTCCATCAACTCTTGTAAAATATTTCAAAACTCCCCTCCAAATAACATAATTATAACAGACACATGCATGTTGCTCTGCTTGGAATAATAACGTGTGTCTGATTTTTTTTTCCACAAAAGATGTCTCCTACTGCACTGGTAAAAGTCCAGTGTATGTGCACTGGCTGGCTCTACATCTAGCATCTAGATACAGAATTGACGTACTGACCAGGACTGACTTACACACTATTTGTGATTTTAAAAATCGGATTTTCAGTAGAGCACAGAGAAACTTTCCACTTCCAAGCAGCATGAATATGAAATCATCCTTCTACTGTCAAACGCTGCATCATACCAGCATTCTGCACAGTGAAGCTCAAACATTTACACTGTAGATACATCACACAATATAGATACGATAGATAATAATAGAATAGATAGATAGACAAATAGATAGATAGATAAGATTAGATAGATAACTTTATTAATCCACACAATGAAAATTAACTTGTCACACGCAGCATTTTGATGTGAAAAAGATAGATAAATCCGATACGATATAAGACGGCTAGCATCAGTACGATACGGAGGATAGAACAAAAAAAATAGGAAAACAATTTATGACACTTCATTCTTTCAAAAACGGAAAAAAAAACAAATAGATCGATAGATACCCGATAGATAGATAGCCATAGATAGCATAGAAATACATAATAAATAACTACGAGATAAAAAAACAAAGGAAACATCTTGCATATGCAAGTCCAAGGGATTTTGTATCTCCTGCTGCATGGATGGGAGTGTGTGTGTGTGTGTGTGTGTGTGTGTGTGTGTGTGTTTCTACCTGCTCGTAATAGGATGACCTGGTCATCGAGGGGGAGTTCGGAGAAGTGTGGGATCCTTTTGGCCCACTCCACCAAGGTGAAGAGCTGCTTGTCTGCTGCTTGACATATATTGGTGACTGGGTCGTTGGTCTGGAGAGAAACAAGAAGAAGAATGCAAAAACAAAATATTAATTGTGCTGGTAAGATCCTTCCGCGGCTTTTCTAACAGCAGGTGGAGCTGCGGATATCTTTGGGTGCTTGGTTAACCGACAGTTTCTTCTTGAGGTAAACGTCTTGAAGTTACACAAAGGGACAGAAAGACTGTAAGAAAGCCACCAGAGTTCAACAGCTTGGAGCTGTTGTATTGGACTGCATGAGATTGTACAGATGCACCTAAAAATTGGTAACACAGTGTCTACTTTACTGTTAGTTAGTTATGGGATTGCATAAAGGGTCAGCAACCATTACTATCAAAAGAGCCATTTTT